GATTTATATATCTTGATATAATTAATAATATTTTAGGTAATTACAATAAATAAAAACAAAATACATAGAATAAATTTTTAATCAATAAAATATCCTCAAACCAATATAAAAGTAATTATTAAACCTTACTTTTAAAACATGCGATCACGTTCGTTTAAAATTAAAAAATAAATAATTTTTAAGTAATTTAGAGATTTTATAAAAAATATTTATTTTTTATAAATTTTTTAGAAAGCAAGCATTATTTTATGTTTATTTATAATAATAAAAAATTAATTATTAGTTAGTTAGTTTTAAATTTTATGATATATTTTTTAATTTTAGTTTCATAGGAACAATTTATTATTATATTATTTTAAAATTTTATGATATTTTCATGTATCTCGCCTCTTTAAAACATTCTCTCTCATCTACCATGTTAAATTATTTTTAAAAGCTACTCAAGGTAGCTTCTAAAATAATTAGAAATTTGTTTTTTTATTCTAATTATTTTTAAAAGTTTAAACAAATATTATAAAAACTAACAAAATAGATTTTTTTTCGAAAAATAAATGATTTTTTTATGAGATAAGTTAAAACAAACAGGCCCTAATTAAGAATATTAAATCACATGTTTTTTTATAAAGTCTCTATAAATTAGTCTTTTTGTATAAAATCTCTAACCTATCTAAAACAAACTTATGTTCCAATACAAACCACAAATAGGCCATAAATAGTTAAAGTAGCACACATAAATAAAATTAAATTCAATTATATTTAGCAAGCCTAATGTCTCTGTAATTTCATAACTATATAAAATAACTTAACAACATAAAATGAATTGGTGTTTGATTATGAGCTCATAATAATATTTTCAAATAAGTGGATTTGAATTTCAAAAATTTAGATTTAGTTCAAGGTAAATAAAAATAAGGAAACATTGCTTAAAAAAAACTTCACTAGAAATCTAATTGCTAAAATAAGGACTCGGGATTGTTTTGAAAAAAAAAAGTCCTTCACTGTTAATAATTGGTGAAAGTTAAATAACATAAACGCCCTAAAAATAAAAATAAAAATAAAAAATGAGCAAGGTCATTCGTGGTCAATATGTTGCACAACATCCTTAATTGTCAATATATCATAGGTCCTTTGTTGTCAATAATTAAACGTTAATACATAACACAAGATCCTTCGATGTCAATATGTGAAATAAGGTCCTTTGGTGTTCATTTATCAAGCCTTGAAGCATGAGGTCATTTAGTGTCAGTAAGTCATATGCAATGTTTCATCCCTGATATATGCAAATCATCTTCAATGAAGCACATGCAACCTTTTGTTGCATGATATGCAGCTGATTCTCAACTAAATGCAATATTGCTCTATATATTTGAATATCGCTTACTTAGTTACCTTATAGACAACTTTGAAAGCACATGCAACTTGTCTCCGCAATATGTAACTTGTCGTTAATGAAATATAATTTTCTTCTACATATTCAACCTAAGGCCTAAAATGCACACCTTACCTCACGTATCAAATAGTACAAGTAAATCAAAGATATATATTCTCTTAATTGGCAATACTACAATAGATTATATGCATAAATCCTTAAAATAATTGAGGCCTACAAATTGAGGGTATGAATCTTAAGCCTAAAACTATTTCCCCCCGTCTTATCCCAATAAACTAGCACCTGTAATGCTGAAAAAAAGATGAGTGAGTATAAATACTTAGTAACCAAGATATATCTAACATATACTAATATATGTTAATTAATTAAAATGCAAGTAGCAGACCATTCTCATACTAATGTCAATTTATTATTTAAAAGGCTTCATTTCACATTTCACATGGTTAATAACATGGACGCATATAATTTTATCACACGGGTTACAACATAAAAAGCCATATGCCCTTTTTTAACAATGTACATAATTATACCTTCCTTATATTCTCATTACACTTTCAACATGAAACCGTGGGTTATTACACAAGGGGCATTGTCCATGAAATAAGACTACCTCAGCCTTTTTACACATGAAAAGCTATTAAACCAAGGTCACTTGACTCGCTTGTGGGTTAATGAGATGTCATTTTTTCCAAACTAGCTTCCTTGTCCAACAAATTGAAATTATACTAGGTTTTAATCACTCGATAAACTAGTCAATTATTATACCACACATTTCACACATATATTTAGCTTATCAATAAACTCATGAATCATGCTAAATATATGTTATACAATTATATCATGCCATACTTGCATTGCAAAAAATATCACAGGTTTTAATAATAGTTTATATATTAAGGTGACCAATTAACACGTAAAAGTAAATGAAATTTTTTTCCAATGACTTGAGAAATTAAATGTTTATCTCTCAATACTATACTTCCAAAGCTTCACAGAGTTTGAATGGTGCCAATATATATGATTTAATGTATAAATTATTATATTACACTCATCAATATCATGGTTTAACAGTTCGTACGTGCCACTTAAAACTCTCAAAACCACAATATCTTCACCTTTACACATACCATTAGGATTTATTAATTTACTTTAGCTTGCATAAGCTTCATTAAACTCTCTAACCACTCTTTCAACCACCATATTTATAACCATTTTTTGACATTAATGTCCTCCCAATTGTCAAGACACACAAAATTACAAACCCTGCAATTGAATAATTTAAATAACTATCGTTAACTCTATTAAAGTCAACAAGATCAAACCTGTAACCTCTATGGATTAAAAATCAACTATCCTCTTTAAATCATGACTCAAAACTTTACAAAAAATTGAAGAGAAAGAAGGACTAAGGTTTGAAAAATTTACCTCTAGCATCCAACAATTTCAAAATACTCTCAATATTTCAAGATTTCAAATCCTAGCAGAGCTCCTTAGCGTTCTTCTCCTCTATCACTCAAACTCTCTCTTTCCTTTTGATTTATAGTTTTAGTCTAATCCATCATGGTAAATTCTATCATACCCTAATAAGGTCTATTTTGGTTATCTTGTCAAGTTACAAAATTATCTGTTTACATCTTTTAGCTACAGTAGACCTTCACCTTTAGTCTTTTGTTTTTCTACCATGGTTAGCTTTTTTTTAATTACAGTTGATTCTTATTTACCACGCTAAGATGATTGGGATAGTTAATCCCTAATTATTGTGGTAGTGTATGGAGTAATGGTTAATTGTGTGGAACAATTTAAGCTTTTTACGTACCACCCTCACATTAATACCAAGATTTAGAGATATGATGGATATGCTTTTGGCATTACTTTCAATTTTAGGGATTCGTTCTTCCGCCATCAGTCCCACCTTTAATTTCTTCCCAGTGCATGGATGTTTTGATTTTCCTTTCTTTTGTTCCCAGCATTAGATGCAGTTCTTAGCTAATTTTTGCTCTTAGATCCTACTTTTGCATTTGATTTCATTTTGTTCGTGAAGGTGGATTACAAAGGGTGAATGTGATGGTTGCTTCTATTTATCAATTCAAATAGCATTATTATGAATTATGAAGGTGGATTATAGAGAATGACTGGATGTTTGTTGTTTTCCAAATGTAATCTCATTAACATTCTAAATAGCATTGTTTATGTTCGACTTATAGAGAGGAGAGGGTGTGGAGGAGAGCACATAAATCATTACAAGATGATGACATGGTTTGTACGGCAAATATTTCTTTTTTTTCCCCACGGGTGTATAGTAGTGTTTGATGTCTGTATTTAGCTAGGTAATGAAAAGTAACTATAATAATCATTCTTGTCATTTTGCTTCCAACACCTGTCATCCAAGTTTCACCACCAAGGAATGAGAAAGTTAAGGCTAGTGAATGATAAGTATTGCTATAAATAGTTTACTAGTTCGTTAGTTGTGAAGCATATATAATAACAAGTAAATTTAGTAAATTAACAGAATTGATATAGGAGATTAACAAGTCACATTAAATGAAATGTGGGTTTGTTTTGTAAACTATACGAAGCATAACAACAAGTAAACATAATAAATTAACAAATCTAATATAGGAAATTAAGAAGTGATATTAAATAAATAACTCGAGTGTAAATCTTTATATGAATCTAGTTCAAAGATCTATTTCAATATCATGGCTAATGTTATTGTAAGTATTAGGGAAGACATGCATTAACCTTGCAAATGGTTGTCCTGTATAATTAATATTGTAAAAGTAGCATTTTAGTCTTAACAAGTAACACAAAAGAATTTATAATTGAGATTTCACAATTTATAAGTGAAGTTGAGGAAATTTACATTAATTTGAAGACAAGTATATTGTCAAACTTCACTAGACATTTTGCTCATAAAGTTAGTAATTTTATAAGTCATTTATAGACTTACACACATAAGGTACTTAACAAGTAACATTACAAACTTTACAAGTAACGTGTGACCATTTACAAGTAATATTATATTAATTTTTTCCCTTACCTCCAATCTTAATTACCAATGCACCTTATAATAAGTGAGAGAAACATTTAAACAAATACTTAGATCAATAAATACAAGGGGTAAAATGAAATTTTTTTATATGTATTACGTTGCTTTTGTTTTCAATTAAGATTAGTTGAAGAGAAATGCTTACATTTTAGATTGAAGAGTGTGGTTTTATTTACAATGAATATTGTATTAGTAATATTCTAACACTAACAATATAAGCGAATTTATAAGTAAGATTTTACAATTTATAGGTGAAAATTAAGAAAATTTACAGTAATTTAAAAACAAGTATATTATTAGACTTCATAAAACATTTTTCCTGTGAAATTATTAATTTAACAAGCCATGCATATATTTACACATGTAATACCATTCATATTAGATAAGCCTCATGCGGTGGTAAATGGAACATATAAAAATTATAAAGATATCACGAGGCCAGGTCCTATGAAAATAAAAAGAATAAAGAAATAGATGGATGGCGTGAAAAAAAAAAAAATGGGGTGTTACCTGTAATTTTGAAATACTATTTGAGTCTGGTTTAAATTTTTTTTTTAAAAAACCCTAATTTCGCCGCGTACGGACAGGTGATTGCTGTCCGGGGAAGGGCGGGGAAAATCGCGAGGCACGGCAAGCAGGACAGTCCCAACTCCCAACCTATTTGATTCACAGGTCGCAGCGATTTTACTGGTTCGGACGCTCTACACCACCTAAATGTCCATAAGCGAACACTATCAAGCCATCCGTATTGCTTGAGCAGTTAAGGTATATTACGCTTCGATATTTGCATTGGTTTTTACATTTTCATTGCCCTATTTTGATCAAGACATCGCTGGTTTGGAAGTTCTCTCTGGGCCTTGGTCCTTGTCACAGTATATGTGACACCTGTTTTGCTTCTCTCTCTGGGCTCGCTTATGCTAGTCTTAGATGTTTCTTGTGATAGACACAGCCAATGCGATCATCTACTGCGCGTATCCTAATTTCCGGACAGAAATTCAGTCATTGAAGGAATGACACAAAATGCTGAAGATTTCAAATTTACATGCCAGCAAGTTCGTGTTCTGGTAGCTCCTGTCTTGCAGGAATGACATAGAATACTGTTTTTAGTAATTTTGAAAATCTAGAGATCTAGAATGATGTAGTTAAATCTGTATACATGAAATGCCGGTGAACCAGATGGGAAGGGTGGCTTAGAATTCGCTGCCCAAGTCGAATAGCAAAGCTTCAGCTGGCTCCCCTTGTCTTGTTTTAAGTTCGTAGGCAACTAGTGTCTATAATCTTCTTAAAATCTCATTTGAGAAACCTGTTTTGCTTGTATATTGTTTTATATTTTAAATTTGTGTAACCATTCGTCTGAAACAACTAAATAGACTTTTTGTGGGTATTAATTTAGCTTTGTTGTTTCTGTTGACATTAGTAGAATCTTGCCTTCATAAGAACAAGGACAGTTAGCGGGTTGTAAATTCAAACCCATCAGCTACATATAGCTGACTTAATGATTTGAGAAAGAGAAACCATTATCTCAAGCACCTTTGCTTTTTTTCTCTGAGAAGGTTGCACTTGATGTAAAATAGTTGATCCAGTTTAGTGTGCAGTATAGTAAGATTGTGAATTCTTTTTATTGTTCATGTAAGTTTCAGATGGAGGGAAAGACTGAGGAAGTCGAAGATATTGGAAGTGCATCTAGTGGTTCATTTATTGATGATTCAGATGATGGATATTCAACTTCTGAATTAGATGACAAAGCACATCTGGAGGTGAATCATGTTGATATTTTCTTTTTTGCTTACTTTTATGTCTCAACATTTTGACGATAAATTAAAAGATGCGCTCTCTCTCTCTCTATATATATATATAGCCTTATCTGAGAATTTGCTTCCCTGATGTTAGTTAATGCTTTGAAGCTATATGCATTTATTATTGTATAAGGTTCATGTTATTTATGCAGGAACCTTTGACTGAGGAAGAAATTGAAGGTCTGATTGCTGAGTTGTTAGAAGTTGAGAGCAAGGTACAATTATTTATTATTCTACTGTTATACTTGAGTACCTATTATCACTTATTTGCATGAGTAAATACATGCATACACTCATATGCATGAGCATGCAATAGCATGCAATAGTGGCAGATAGTTAATTTGTTATGCTGTTTAATGATCCAATACATATAATCTTCTTTCATGTATTATTCCTAATTTCTGACTTGTATCTTCTCTTTATATGATATTCAACTTCTAATTTCTTTTCATAGTTTCTTCTTTCAATGAGTAAATCCTACACTTTTTTTTTTTTGGGATAAAAGAAGAATTTAGTAAGCAGAGGAAGACTTCTTCAGGCATAACAGCAGACTTGTATATTCACTTCTAGACTTTTCTGGGGCTTCAATAAGCTGTTTATTAAAAAGAAACTAGATAATAAAGCAGGTTAGCTTAAGATATCCTTTAAAAAGAAACAAGAAAACACAGGGGACATATGAAACGAGAAATAGCTATAGGGAAAAACATAATTCAAACAGCAATAGTGCTTTTGTGTTAGGGAAATGTTCAACATTTTTCTTTTATTTTTTATTTTTTTTTGCACATCACAAGGTACAAATGGAGTTTCTCTAATATTTATTTTAGGCTGCAGAGGCTCAAGAAGCTCTCGAGGAGGAGTCTCTTAACAAAGTAGGGATCGAGGTTAGGCGAGAGTTGGAGCAAACTCTTCAAGGCGATGATGTTAGATTCTCCTCTTATCTATCATTTTATGGTTCTCATTGTTTTAACTTCTGATTTGTGCGTTTTCACTTGTCTGTAGTTGGAATCTGCTGTTGCAGATGAGATGACTACTTTAAAAGAAGAGTGGGAAGCTGTTCTGGATGACCTTGAGACTGAAAGTGCCTATTTACTGGTTTGCTTCTAACTTATATACAAAAGAAGAAAATTAGTGGGGAAAAACAGGGAAAATACAACTATGTCGGAGGACTAGTTGTCTTTCAATTCAATATTCAATTCAAATATTCAAATAATATATAAAAAACAAAATAAAAGATTAAGAAATATTAACGAAGTTGGCATGTCTCCAGCATTAGCAATGCTCTTCAATCTCTCTGCAGATCTGATAGAGAGACTTCTTTAAAACATCCATGTATAGGGGTCTAAAGATGGGTCATAAACACTGCCCTATCTCACTACATGCTCATGTAATGGAGGTTCCCTTAAAAGGAGGTGCCGCTACCTGCAGTTATAGTACACATTTTGGTTTATTAGTATTGGTCCCCTTCTCTTTTTTGTTCTGTAAGCTGATACTGTGAGGTGTTTGAATTTTATGTGGTTGATATGTTTGGCAGTTCTCTTGGAGCTTTCATAGTTCTTTTAAAAATGTGCTCATCTTTTGCTCTTCTGTACATTCATATTATTTTGAGTAGGAACAACTTGATATGGCTGGTGTTGAGCTGCCAAGGCTTTATAAGTGGATAGAAAGGGAGGCTCCTAATGGTTGTTTGACTGAAGCTTGGAAAAAGAGGAATCATTGGGTAGGTACTCAGGCAACTGAAGAATTTTCTGAGTCAGTTGCCGATGCTGAGAAGTATCTACAAGTCTACAGACCTGTTAGAAGGTATGATTTCTGTATGGAAATTTTTTATCTCTGGGCCTGGCAGTATTTGGCTATAATCTTCTATGGATATTTTGTGGTGGTCCAGACGACATGGTAAATTATTGGAAGAGGGTGCCAGTGGTTTTCTTCAAAAAAAGCTTGATGAATCCAGTGAACCAGTAAAAGAAAAAGCTGAGGTAGATTGGGGTATGTTTAACAAAATATTTCACAACAGTGGTGATGCTGATGCTTCATTTGGCAGCAAGAATTGGGCTTCTGTTTATTTGGCCAGCACTCCACAGCAAGCTGCATTGATGGCACTTGAATTTCCTGGTGTCAATGAGGTGACAAATGTGCTGTGGATGTCTTTTGCCTTCCTATGTTATTTGTATATGGCTAGTTGACTTTTACGAAAAAGGGTTAGCGATACAAAAATAATGTAGAAATTCAAGATTTAATTTTCCTTTGAACTTATTATTGTTCTTAAATGGAAGCAATATTACATTGACAGACAATATAAAGGAAATAGACTTATGCTTTGATGGGTACTCAATGGGATGGGAAACCTTCCCCAAAAGCTTTCCAATTTTCTATTGAGGTGGGAGAACCATTGCACTCAATTTTCCCATAGAGTAAAGCATCTCATACTATTTAACGTGAGACTTTGTCATCTCATGCTGTCGTAGTCTCTATTGATTGGCTACCCTTGGAGAGATTATGTCCTTGTAGCTATGAAAGACATGGTGATGTAGGACAAGGAGAAAGAGGGGGAGGGGGAGGGGAAGTAGGAGAAATCAAGGAGAAAGAGAGAGAAAGATATAAGGGAGAATAGAGAACAAATAATCTTGACACTGCTATACAAGGGAAAAAGAGAAAGAAGCGTAGAAAGGAGGGAGTAGAGAATTTGAGGGAGAGTCAGATGGCAAATGATCACATTTCTGTTCGTCAATATGCAAAATTCTTAAAACCCTAGGGCTATTTATTTAGTCCTAAGCACAGTCATTAACATTAAAATAGTAATAATCTAAATCTAAACCAACTTAGACCTCAACAAGATAGGATAAAATAGGATAAATGCTAATTTAAATTCAAAATAAGTTAAAAACCTAACTTTTCAAATGAGAATAATTAATAACACATAACTTTTAGGTTTTCCTATGCCTGACATAGGCTTTCCATTCTCCATCACACAGAATTTTGGGGGGAAAAGATGGGGTTTGGGCCTAAAATTTTGGAAGACATATGAATGAAGAAAGAAACGGAATGAGGATAAGTTGAACAAAGGGGTAAAATGGGAAAATGGCAGCAGCAGCAAATATGACTATGAGCCCATTTGTTTAAGATTAAAAATAAGTAATTTTTAAGTAGTTTAGAGGTTTTATAAAAAGAGATTTATTTTGTAGAGATTTTGTAAAAAGCAGACATTATTTTATGTTTGGTTATAATAGTAAAAAAGTGATTATTAGCTAGTTATTTTTCTTGATTTTTGTTTTATGAAAATGATTTATTATTATATTATTTTAAAATTTTATAGTATATTTGCATATGTTGCCTCTTTAAAATACTCTTTCTCAACTTCTGAAAATAATCAGAAATATGCTTTTTTTTTTCCTTTCAGATTTTGATTATTTTTAAAAGTTTAAACAAACAAAATAAAAACTTACAAAATAGATTTTTTTCAAAAAATAAGTGATTTTTTCATTGAATAAGCTGAAACAAACGGGCCCTATATGTAATGCTGTTTGTGAGGTGCTTTGTAAATGCCAGATTCTAAGCAGTATTTGTTGTATTGTCCTCTAAAGAGCATTCCTAGCGTGTGTTCTTCAATGTGTTTCAATACATCATCTCAGCTGTTTTCCTTAGCAATTTCTTTTGCTAGACTTTCACCATAAATCATGTGCTTGTTCTATTGTTCCTTAGTTTCCTGGTTAATTTTTTTGTTCTTGGAAACACATTTTATCAGGTGGAGGAGATTGATGACATTGATGGAACTTCTACCGATCCATTTATTGCAGCCGCAATTGCAAATGAAAAGGAACTAGAGCTTACTGATGAGCAGAAGAGAAAATTTAAAAAGGTCTGTCATTGTTTGGGCAATCAGTTATCATAATCCTTTATATCATGTATAGATATATCGTAACTTATGTCTGACAGTTGTTTTATATCCAATAATTATGAAGAATGGACAGAGGAAAAGTGGGTTGTTGGAAGACATTCCTTGTCCAGTGGATTTTGAACCTACATGCTGTTGTGCATTTGTGGAAAAGCTGTAGACTGTAGCAGATTAGTGGACACCAGTCGTTATGTTTTGTTGATGTGCCAGTAGTAGAAAAATTATAATACTCACGAATGACTGTTATTTTGTTGGTTAAAGATGTTCTGCAGCATATGGTTTTGCCTTAGATGCTAATTATTTTAAAGGGAACATGCTACTTATTCAAATGCCTGGCAAGTGTGTTGGTAGTTTTTCTTTTTAATTATCACTGCCAGGTATGAATGAACTAATTAATGCAGTTGAATGCCATTTTTGTTGTCTCAATTTGTACCATGCAGGGTAACAGATTTATGGACTTTTTTTTTTTAATGGGAAATTGTAGTTTAACACCTTTTTAGTTTTTCTTAGCATAGTCTCATTTTTTTTTAAACGTGAAAAAAAAAAAACATTTGATCAGCCAGGGGTATTGGCCCTGCCTCCATTTACTATTATCATATCCATATATGCCCCTACACCTTCCTTTTTATCACTGATATGATATTTCAGTGTCTCTGTGTTTACAAGTATGTCATTTCAGCTTTTTTTTCTTTTTCTTTTTTTTAACTTTTCATCAGGAATCTGATTGTACAATTCTCATGAATTTGATAGGTCAAAGAAGAAGAAGATGTGATTGTTGATCGGAAGCTTCAAATCCATTTAAAACGAAGGAGGTATCAAAAGAATAAAAAACAGGTGAATTTATGATTATGTTTCTCATTTTTTTTATCCTCTGGTGTCTGGTTGACCCATAAATTGGATGATGTCATTTTCGAAGCTATTGAGGACATACTGTTGTATATTTTATTATTTAATATTTAATTTTATGAAAATAGCATGTTGTAATTGGTGGTTATTAATATCTCATATTATTTTATCCAAATAGTTTTTATTCAGAATTTCAGATTATTGATGTTGTGATTGGGTTATTAAGATTGGTTAATCTATTATGTGGTATTGAGCATTGACAGCTAATTATAGGAAACCATGTGACTTATCCGTGACTGAATTAATCTTATCTTTGCTCTTTGCTGTTATGACATCCTGTCACTGATTCTGAATTTATTTCAGAGGGAAACTATAGAGAGTGTCCAACAGAAGTCTTCATTTATTGATTGCTCTAATCCTGATATGAAGGAAGAAACTTGTGACGATGATGGCGAAAAGGTGACTAACAATGAAGTTGGGTGTCTGAATACAAAAACTGATAATATTGAAGATCTGGAGAGCAGTTATGACCATGACAAAGTGAAGCCTATGAATATTGGCCCTTTGTCAGAGCTCTCTAAATCTTTATTGCCTGATGTCAATCACAGAGGTACCAAGCGACTAAATGATGGTGAAGAGTATTATGATGCTAAAAAGGGTCGAACTACTATCAACAGTGGTGATGAAGCTGATGCAGTTGAAAATAATATAGTTAGGAATACAAATGCATTAGATGATCAGTCTGAGATGCAAGGCACTTGTACCAGCATTGCTGATTGTCTTCCTTCACAGCATCTGGATAAGAAATTTTGCTGCACTGTTTGTGATAAAGTGGCTTTTGAAGTTCACCAACATCCTCTTTTGAAAGTGATTATTTGCAGGGATTGCTATTCTTTAACGGAAGGAAAGAAACGTGTGAAGGTATGGGTGGGTGCAAAGCCGATAATGTTTTCAAGTGAGATTATTCAGTGCTCATTTCAGTTTTAGAATATTAGTAAATCTAGCTATTGGTTTTAAAAGTTTGATTACAAGTTTTTGATTTTTCAGCCTCCTTGATATGTTTAGTTGTCTTTTTTTGGATAAAAAGGAAATTTTCTTTGAAAGAGGAAAAGTATGAAGTGTTGAGGATGACAAATCCTCAAAATCTAACAAAATTCTAATAAGCTTACAGTTAGTGTAGAAGAGCTTTCCAGTCGCTTGGGATGTTAGAAATGTAGACTCCCTTCAAATGCTTGTGAACCAGGCATAGAAGATTCGCCATATAAACAGCTATACCCCATAAAATATTTAAATATAAAGGTATGCCCTTGAAAATATAAGCATTTATATAGTTCAGATCCCTGTTATTGAGAGGATCTTCACATGATTCAGTTGTCAAATCTGGGCTGTCCTTATTTGATATGGACAGTGAAGGAATAAGTGGGGTGAATATTCTGGCTCAGATCCATTCATTGCACACCTGCTGGGAAAAGAGCCCAAAGGGGCCACCGGACCTGCAACATGTGATTTTTGTTTATCCTATCAAGTATCGGCGTCCAAAGTTGGATTTCAGCATTGAATGAGCTTCGGATCTCCGCATTGACTTCTGAAGAACAAGCTTTTCCTTTGTAGGAGAATGAATGAGGAAATGAAAACGTTATTTATGAGAGTGAGTACTAGAAGGGTCAAGAGTCTAAACTCTCATATCATGACCAGAGGAAAAAGAATCAGAATCAGAACCAGAACCAGTAAAGACTCTAGAATCTGAAGCTCACTACTTTATAGTTTCTATGATTCAAGTTTTTTTTGGAGGGGGGGAGTGAAAATTCCAACAATTAGAATTAGAATTATAGACAATGAAGAAATTTTGAATTGGATAGTCATACAAAGTAGAAAATCAGTTAAGATAAGCTTCAGAAAATTAACCTGAAAGAAGTGTTCTAAAATTTTATAGGAATATAGTGCATTGTTCTGGTAAATGATTTGAGGAAGCCTTTGCAAGCTTTTGTGTGAATATAAATTTGTTTTGGAATCTTAATTATAAAAGACTTTAAGTTTGGCTTTGTGCTGGCCTGCTGTGTATAATTTAACGCATGATATTCGGAAATGCTGCAAATGTCTCATTTATTGTCTGTTGCCTTTTAATGGGAAATTTATTGAGCCATTTTTTTTTGTCTCAGGATCTCAATCCTGATAGCTCTGCGTGTTATTGTGCATGGTGTGGAGGAAGCAATGAATTAGTTAGCTGCAAGTCATGCAAAGTGTTATTCTGCAACAACTGCATAAAGAAGAATCTTGGTGCAGAATTCCTTTCTGAAGTTCAGACCACTGGTTGGCATTGTTGTTGCTGTCAGCCAAATCTCTTGCAAGGACTATCATCACAACTAGAGAAAGCTATGGGATCTGTCGACACATCAGTTTCCAGCTCCAGTAGTGATTCAGATAATTCACATGCAGAGATTGATGTTACTATCAGGTGCATTGATCCTATAAATTTTAATTTTTTAATTGTGGGCATCATGTAAGTTTTTATCTTGTTTCATTTCAATTCCTATAGAATCAATGCAATTTCTTGATTTTTTTTTCCCAATCTTATTATTGGCTATCAAGAGCAAACCTTGTATTATTGTCTCTCTTCCTGAGGATTCTGATTTTGAATGTTAATTCATCATGATTGCCTTTATCGTATTATTTTATTGATGTAGAATTGTTTAACGCATCCTTGGCCAAGGTGTTCTGTTCTCTTTTCTATTTGACAGGCTTGCAAGGAGAAAATCTTGATTTTCTTGCCATCAATGTTTTTAAGTAACACAAGTTGAGATCTTATCAATCAATGCTTTTGCCTGTATTATTGAGGATCGCAATTTTTTTGACAAGTTTATGTCGTTTCTTTCTGAAATTTATTTATTTTTGGAGTGAATGTATCAATTTGAAAAATTCATCAACAATTTTTTTTCTTGTTTATTGATGCATTAGCTTCATAAAAAGCCATTAATTTGAGATGTTTATTATTATGAAATGCCTTTTTTTATTTGGATATCAGTTCTAAGCGAAAGCGCAAAAAGAAGATTAGGAGGATCCTTGATGATGCTGAATTAGGAGAGGAAACAAAAAGGAAAATTGCAATAGAAAAGGTTGAATATTGTTTGTTTGGTGTGTTTGTGCCCAACCTACTTCTGTTTCCCAGATTGTTTATCATTCTTTCTATCTTTATAGGAGCGTCAGGAACGTTTGGAGTCTCTGCGAGTACAGTTTTCTGCCTCATCTAACATCATGGGATCTTCTGGATGCAACGGGAATTTATCTGAAGGTGCAAGTTCTGAAGTCCTAGGTGACGCTTTAACAGGCTATGTAGTGAATGTTGTGAGGGAAAAAGGTGAAGAGGCTGTCAGAATTCCTCCTAGTACATCAGCCAAACTGAAAGCTCATCAGGTTTATATTATGTGTTTGCACTTTCAGATTATGGTTAATGTGTTTATTTCCTGCATATTTTTTTCCCATTGTGCCTTCTGGATTCGACTTTTGATTATGCTTGTCCTCACCAAGATCCTTTGTAACTTACTCTTTTCTTAGTACTCCATTGGGTAGTCTATACCAATTGATGCTGGAATTTGGGATCTTACTTGTATGTTAATGTGCTGATAACTACATTTTATAACACTTCACTTGGAATGATGGAGAACCTTCCCCCTGAAGCTAACTATTGAGGTGAGGAGAGTGGGGGGCCATGTTTCATATGCAACGGAAAGGAATGGAAATTGATGAATTAAGAAAAGAAAAATAAAATAAAAAAAAAAAGCAAATGCCTAAAATACCCCTATTTCACTGGGGAAGAAAAGGCTCCCTTGTCTCCTTTGACCTTCATCTCCCCAGCCACCGTCTATGTCTAGGTTATCTTCACTAATACAACACAGACATCATAAATCCACAAAAATCAACATTTAATTTGGAAATCATCAACATTTCAATGGTCCCTTGTCTTCCTTGCTTGCGAATGACTTCACCAGAAACCACTCCTTGTAAAATGATGCTGTCAAACCAAGATAGTGGCGGAGCAAGGCTAAGTAGTTGGCAACAACCAATGTCAAAGAAGAAGCCACTGACCACTACAAGCAGATCTGCAGACAACATGAAGACCAACCAACAAAAGATGAGCAGATCTATTTGAGAAGCGAGCAAGCGATAGTTGCTAGACAAACAACCTTTGACAATGATGAAGGGGGACTAGTTGGGAATTTCCTACCTTGGAAAATCGCTTCCCACCAAGAGTAGGAGGAGGCAGGCTTCCTGTGGATGAAGGAAAATTTGGAATTCTCTCTCCTAGAAAATGGTGCGGCCAAGTGTGTTTTGTGAAGGAAAGGAAGCCCTTTTCCTTTTCCATCCCCTAATTTTCAGCCTGCCAAAATGCCCCTTAAGCATCCCATTTTAGCTTTGTCCTTGTCAGTGATAATCTTGGAAGCTGACACACCTTAATATGTTATTATGGCCAGAAGTGATTACAAAAAGTTCCAAGTCTCTTTATGACAGGCATTAGGAATAGGAATGATCCTTAATCTCACTTGACCTCTTGTGTTCTAGTCATTTGTAGGAATGATCCTTAACATCACTTATCTTCTGTTTGGATGAGAAGAAAAGTTGAGAGGAAAGAAAATGGAGAGAAGAGAAAATTGAAAAGAAAATGTTATCACTCATTGTGTTTGGATGGGCAGGAGAAAAAGAGAGGAAAGAAAATGAATAAAAATTATTATGACTATAATACCCTTATATTAGTATATATCATATCTAATGTGATTATCTTTGTAAAATAAATTGAAAGAATAAATTATATTAAAATTGACATCATCAAAATAATTTAAAATCAAGTTAGTTGTTAAAAAAATGTAAAAAGCTAAAGACGCAAATTCTGTTTCTATTTCTTAAAATCAAATTAATTATATTAAAATCAACATCATCAAATCAAATTATATTAAAATTAGTTGTTAAAATTAAATTAGTTCTAGAAAGCTAAAGACACAAATTTTTATGGAGATCAAAATCTGATTGTTTGTGAGGAACTAATGTAGTTGAAGCAGGCAAAAGAGGGGAGAGAGGAGAGGGTAGATAGTGGAAGTAAGAATTTACTCTCAAAATCTCTTCACCTTTGGGTAGAAAAGTTGGGAGGAAAATGTGATGGGTTTCACACTTCATTTTTTTCCTAATTTTTCTCCTCTCACTTTTTCTTTTTCATCCAAACAGGGGAAAATGTATTTTCTCTCCTGTTTTCCTCTCATATTTTCTTTCTTCTCATGTTTCTCTCTAACCAAACAGAGCATTAAAGTCTTGTGTTCTGGTCATGCTTTTTTTTTTTTTGTGCAGTGCCTCCTCCTTGGGCATCTAAAATGCTTTTACCTGGATTTGTTTTGGCTTGTCTTTCCTACCCTTTACTCAGCATTCATTTTTCAATTACAGATTGCAGGAATAAGATTTATGTGGGAGAATATAATACAGTCAATCAGAAAAGTGAAGTCCGGGGATAAAGGTCTTGGCTGTATTCTCGCTCATACAATGGGCCTTGGCAAAACCTTTCAGGTATTCTACTTATTCTGGGGATTTTAAATATGTGCATAAAATTAAAGAATAAATTCTTGTTCTGTCAAAATTGCTCGACCGTCTAGGTGTCATTAGTAGGTGCCACTTTAGTGGGATGGATGGTCAGTTGTAATCTTGTCAGAACATTATCCAATTATGAAACATCTAGACTAGAGAGAATTTGATTGCAAGTTGGAGCAAGGTTTGCTTTAAGGGATGCAAGAGCAAGGCACAGCATGTGTTTTAAAAATAGAAGTGCACAAAATAAGGTGGAAGAGGGTGTGAGAAAAGAAGGGAAGAGAGGAACGAATGATCAGAATGATGCATGGGCACTAGTAGCCCTCTTACCATGGAAGGTAAGAGCACAAATGAGAATGGAAACTTAGTCTCTGAATTTTGACATACATGTGCATCTTATTTATGGTAGATGTACAAGGCAAGGAATAATGGCTAATAATTGCAAAATTAAATCAGCCTAATTTAATCATAATCATCCTAATCACAAGGAAACTAATCAGTCATAGTCATCCTACTTAGTTACAATTAGTGATAAATCAAATCATAATTAACATCATGCACTTCTATCTTTGCTGGTTAATGGTTTTGGTCTGATCGACTGGCCATTTTAGTGATAACTTTCTTGTACACAGCAATGAGAAGCACTGATCTGGGGTTAAGAACTGCACTTATTGTCACACCTGTCAATGTTCTGCACAATTGGCGGCAAGAGTTTATCAAATGGAGGCCATCAGAAGTAAAACCGCTGAGGGTCTTCATGCGGAAGATTGTATCAAGGTTTTCTTGCTATTTTTATATTTCTATTAGATTCAAT